GGCTGTGAAAAAAATACAATTAAGTCCTCTGTTTGGAAAAAACGAAATTACTTTCCCAACGACCCATAAAAATATGTATGTTGTAAATGTATTATCACCGAATGTATTGCAATATCTAAAATTGCTACCATGTTTCAAATTCAATTAAGATTGTTATGTGTATCATAGACGCCCATTGGAAAAGATATACAATACAATAAAGATTTACTCACCTTTCGCCGTCGTCGTTGAAGGCATAATCCCCCAAGAGCAGATCGCGAAGCCTGTATCTGGGTGGTAGAATCAGCGGCAAACAGGGATCCGGCTCGTTCATTGTTGCACAATACGTTCTTCACAGTTTCCTCAAAAATTCCTTTCGCATACTACTTGACCCACCAACGTACCAGAATTCACACTGCACTGACACAAGAAGCTTCATATTACTGCGTCACCATCTGAAATATACCAAAAAGACCTTATAAATAAATTACAGATTTTTAAACATTTACAGGAATTTTAAATAATTTAAAGAAACACAAAATATAATAAATAAAATACAACTTATAATAGTTAAAAGAGGAAACAAATGTCCTCATGTCCTTCGTTTCTTCAATTTTATTTATAAAAATAGGAATCTGTCTATTTATGAAGAAAATCACAAGAATCGACCCGAGCTTTCAGACGTTTAGCAAAATCATTTTTGGAAACTTCTACCTCTAAATTATAATAATCGTAGCCTGGCTCACTTGATATTCAAAACAAGACCCTCATACTCGCAGCATTTTTTCTCCCTCCCACGTTATGTCATTACTTCCAAGCAATTTCGAAGGCTCTCAGGATTTTCAACGCGAAACTTTCCCGTGTTAAATGCAATACGATACGATTCCGGGTCACGCGTTAACGCGGAGCTAACTGGCTTGTTGAACATATCGACGCAGACTGATAGGTATGTGATCGCTCAGAGGACGCGTACTTTTTGTACAACCCACCCTCCTCAGTTTTTCGGATCACTATACATGACGCGAACAGTCGCGGCAGTGATATAAAAACCTGTGAAGGGTGGTTGATTAATACAATGTGATGTTTACATTCGTAGTAAAAACATAACAAAAACTGAAAAATTCTCAAGCGACAAACTACGATGGTACAAAGTGTGACAAAAAAAATTTGATCACCATTTAGAACCATCCGTTGTAATCCTTGCATTGCTGTCCTCTTCGTAAATTGTATTCAGTAAATGAGTAATATGAATATCCTAATGACACTTTTCCCTACGTCCTTTTAGCGTTCCAAGAGCTTTTAACTAAATTACGTGCCGGAGAATACGTGTGCACGTTACACTTCCCGACTGCCACTCGATGACTATGGGGAAATAGAAACCGTTCATGATTCGATTAACTGGAGACTGTGATCAAAGATTACTCGTGTCCACAAGACGCGGTTGGAATTTAGATATTAACTAACCATCGTTCAGTCGCTTTCACAGAAATACTCAATAACAGACTGAAACTTTTTATGCAAAATTGAACTACTGAATTATGATATTAATTATAAAAATATTCTACTAATTAAACTCCGTTATGTAACGTAAATTAATCTAAATATATAAACCAATATAAATAATGCAATAATTAACTGCTACTTTATATTTGATGTACAAACGTCTGAACGTAATTAATTATAAATAACGGAATTCAATATATGATTAATGAATCTATTGATACGCAATTCGCATGGCATTAATGCCACCAGCGTTCGTCGAGTTTCAATCGTAACAGAGTTTATAACGAACCACAAATACGGTGTGGGGAATGCATTCTGATCGACGAGCCTCGTACATACGAACACGGTATTAATTCGTGACCAATTAACCGAACGTGCTAAACGACTGATGAGGATGACCACTGAGGATATTAGACACTAAACGCGACGATGGGACATCGACGAGACTCGAAAAGCTGCGGTTGACGGAATTTTAACACTGTTGACAAGCGACAAGGTCGATTCAAGTGCAAATTGAACTCGCACTTCGCAGATGATCGCAAATTAGCCAAAGTAATAGGAAATTGTTCTCAAATTAAACAAATGAGCTAACAATTTTCAAAGCGTGGAGCTTTTTAATCACCTAAAAGACAGAAAATATGTTTAGACACCCGCTATTACGACGTACATCGACCCATAATTATTGGGTCTATAATTTAAAAACCGGAATTTTTTTAGGAAATTTGAGCGTTTATGAAAGAAAATCTTGTACAGTTTTTTTATTCAAAGTAAAGCGCTTGGAAATGGCTATTTAAATCACGCCCAATGATTCCGCTAACTCTTCTTGTGTTCGACACGCGTCTTGATCGAGTAACGCTTCCAATTCTTCATCTTCAAACTTTTTCGGCTGCCCAGGCCGCTCTTTGTCTTTGATGTAAAAATCGCCACTTTCAAAGCGCTGAAACCACTCGAAACACTGTGTTTTCGCAAGAGCATGTTCGCCATACAATTCCACGAGACTTTCGACTGCAGTTTTCTTTGAAAAAAAGTGACTCAGCAAAACTTCCCGCAAATGCTGTTTTTTTCGCAAATTTTCAAAATTTTCCATGACTGAAAAAAATATGATTCGCACAAGCAAATCAAACACTGTTCACTGATTTTGACAGCTTATGAATAGAGCTTCAAAACAACGTGTATGTCAATGATTTTCTACAACGCATACACAAGTGCTAACATCTAGTATGAAATTCCGGATTTTAAGTTATAACCTAATATTAAATTATAACAACCTAATTATTAAATTATATACAATTGAATACAATTGAAAATCGACTCGCTTATTTCAATTACGACGTATGAATGTACTTACATAACTACAGTTTCCCGATGTTCGGCCACTTGGATAAGTAATTCATCCTCTTTTGTCGAATCTCATTGTAAGCGCAACAGCGATCAATGTTCATTTCCTTTAAACGATCGCACACCGACTGAATCTTGAATCACGTACCGGCACACATTCGATACTGTTCTCCCTTCGATCAATAACATTGTTTCCGACGGTTACCATGTCGTGCATCGAACTGTTAAACAATTCAACAAAATCGTATCACTCTGGTCACTTCGGTCAGCACGAACACTACAAATCAGGACCACTGTTCCTCGGGACTTCGATTGTATCGAACATCGACCGATTCCATCTTGCATATCGATTTTCAATTTGGATCATTATTAATCGAGACGCCATCTTGGAACTTAAGTACCGCTCGCTCGTGTCGTGTAGTGTAGTGCTCGTGTAATTAAGTTCATTTTCACAGTTTCAATTAGTGCGAATTATCAATAATTTAATACGTACTTTCGTGTGCAATCTCGAGCATCAGTAATGGAGGTTAATCGACACGTTTCGCTAATGAACATTTGCAACGCGAAGCGGAACATCGTTACGAACGCCAGGTTGGAAACGGTAAGGACAAACTCACATGGCGATAAAAAAATTCAAAAATTGACCAAAACGATTTGAGGTTACGGATACTCTGATCGTAAATGCGCGCTAAACCGTTCTCACTAGAGTCACGTGGTACAGTAGCGAAACAGCGAGCGCTGAAAGGAATGCGCGGCACGTGCGAACCCGTCACGTTCCCAATCGGGACGAACGACGACCGGCGAATGGTTCGAAGCGCGCGCGTCGCGACGCTCACTCGGCGGCGTCTCCCGCTTCAATGACGATGCATCGCCGTCGCGACGTCGACCTCGCCCCCCCGCCGAACGACGCCCACCGTCGTATTTTATTAAAATGCTCAGAGAAGGGCAACGTGTATCAATACTCATAATCAGAGGATTCTTAAATCTCGATTGAAATTCGTATAATTTCGTATGATTTGGTATAATTTCGTATGATTCTACTTAATGTTTATTACTGCCTTTGCTTGATGATCTTATTTATAATGTTCGTTGATTCAATGCTAAGGAGAGATCAGGTAACGCATTTCATTATTTAGGGAATCTCGAATATGCATTGCAATTCTTAAATTATTAATCTTCTTAAGGGGACTACCCAGTGTGACTAAAATTTAGGTGATTTTTGGAAATTTTTTTTAAGAGAAGTATTCCATGGAATGTTTTTAAACTTTATGGATGTATTTGCCTATGATTGAAG